AACCGGAAAACATATTAGTCTTGTAGATAATGCTCAATTGTGTGTTTACAATCCAAAACGTATCGTTTTTAGTATTTTACATTAATACCACTTGTATAGTTCATTTGGTTAATGTAAAGTAGACAAATTAATATGTAGTTAAAATTTTTTTAAAAAAAATTGAAAATTTAAAGTTATTTACTCAAACCTAGCTTCAATCTAGTAAATAAGTAAATAATACTTTATTTGCAAAACAACATGTGATACATTATATTAATACATAAATTAGTTAGTTGCAGCACCCCCTAAAAGCAAAAAGCTTGTGCTGGGGGAGCGGTTCTTATAATTGTATTAACTTAAAAATTAATACATAAAATAATAAATTTGTAATAGCGTATATTAAGAAGTAGCAAAGTAAAGTTATGCAATATTATAAACAGAGTCAAAGATAAAAGTATGAAGAACAAAAATATATTATAATTAAAAACGTAGCATTAAAGTTAATAAATGAATTATATAATAGACAGATCAAGACTTTTTACATAATTTTTGAATGACTTCAAATTACTAAAATGGCTAATATTGATATTTAAGGTTTGACATAGCTTTAGACCGTTATATAAAACACTCATTTGACCAAAGACTTTATTATAATGAGGTAGGCATATGTTTATATTATAATTATATCCTGTATAATGATCATGGTCAAAAGGAATAATTAAATGTTAATTTTTATAAAGTTCAACTAGTGTATTAAAATTAAAAATATGTCTAAAATTATTAACTTTTAGTTCCTTATAAATTAACGTGGTACTTGTTTGAAATGATAGATTTGGAAGATATTTAATTATGCAGTTTATAGTTGTTAATAATCTAGATAAATGATTGTTGTAAGATTTTCCCCAAATTGATATACCATAAGTAAAAACTGATTGAACCAAGGATAAATAAATAATTCTTTTGTATGAGTTATTAAAAATATATTTGACTTCTTTAAAAATGAAAAAGAATTTACGTAAAATATTGTTTAAATAATCGATATGACTATCCCATTTTAATTTATAATCTAAGATTAGGCCAAGGTATTTTAATTCCTTAACATTTTCAAGAATAACACATTGTGATTTACATGTATTGTTAAAAGCTGAGACACATTTTAATGAATGAACTATTAAGTTGTTTGTATTTAAAGTATTATAATTTTGTGGATTAAAACAAATGTATTTAGATTTCAACAAGTTAAGTTTTAATTTATTCTTGCAAAACCAGGTATAAATATTATTTAGGGTTCTATTTGCTTCATAATACAAAGTATCAGTAGTTCGTTCAGATAGTAAAATCGCAGTATCATCAGCATAGCTTTAAATTTCAGTATTTGAATTGGTATTGATTTTTAGGAGATCATTTATAAAAATTATAAATAATAAGGGACCTAGGACTGTGCCTTGTGGTACACCACAAGATACTTCTAGAATATCACTATATTTATCATTTAGTTTAACTCTTTGAGTTCTACCACTTAAGAAGGATTTAAGTAAATTATTAGGTATACCACGAATACCTGCGTTTTCTAATTTAAACATTAATAGTTTATGATTCACACAATCAAAAGCTTTCTGCACATCTAAAAAAATACCCATTACCTTATTATTATTGTCAATATTATTCCTAACAAAGTTGTCTACCTTAAAAAGTGCATCAGTAGTAGATAATCCTGGTCTGAAGCCAAATTGACATTTTGAAAAGAAACATTTTTTATTTAAAAAATCAAGTATTCTGTTTTTTATACATTTTTCAAAATGTTTTGATAAAGTTAGAGATTTGGATATCGGTCTAAAATTACCACACTCTAGTTTGTTACCTGCTTTAAATAATGGGATTACAATAGATTTTTTGAAATATGATGGATATTTACCTGTTGATAGAGATTTATTGAAAATAATTGACAATGGTAATGAAATAGCTTCAGATGTTTTTTTTAGTATGTAATTAAACAAATTATTTTCATAAAAATAATTATAGTCTTTTATTTTATTTAAGAGCGAAATTATTTCATCAGTATTTATTGGTTTAAAAAATAAACTATAGTTTATAATTTCATGGTCATCAGGTACATGGTTTATGTGTTCTATTTCTAAATTATTCCCAACATTAATAAAATAGTCATTTAATGTATTACAAATTCCTGTTTTTGATTCAGTAATACAACCATTTTTCATTGTTATCTTATTAATATCACATTTTTTATTTTTGTTTGATTTTCATATTACCTCATTAATAATATTCCATACTTGTTTACCATCATACTAAGCTTTTAATAATTTACTTTGATAAAATAATTGTTTAGATTTTCGTATTAATACATTTTATATATTTCTATACTTTTTATAAAATTGTTTAAAGTGTGTATCAAAAGGCCTCAATTTCAATTTAGCAAACAATTTTTCCCTATTTCTAATTGAAGTTATTATACCGGTTGAAATCCATTCTTTTAATTTTGACATCTTTTTAGATTTCAATTTAGTTACTGAAATGGTTGAATGATTAATAAATTCATTTATTTTAGAATTAAAAACCTCGATCATAGAATCAACATCATCAAAAGACACAAACCAATTTTCTAATAAAATTAATTTATTTAAAATCCCAAAGTTTATCTTTTTTATATTTATATTTCTACAATTATTACGAATGCAATGAACACGAACGTCTTTATCAGCTATCTACTATGCAATCATCGCGCGACTGGTGTGTCTTTACGTGAACGAACAATTATTGGTCATCAACGATGACTCATCATTATTGCAGTTATACGTCGCGCGATAACGTTTATTTCGAGCAGATAGGTACATACCTAAAAACACCTTTTACCATTTAATTTTTTTTTTTAGCTGCGATTATGCTATTGACAAGTGTGAAAAATGCTAAGAGCTGAACCGTCGTTTTCCTATTATTTGCGAGCTTGCGAGTAAAAAAAAATTGGGTCAATTTTTAAAGGCATTACCTCGTCGAAAATAATGCACTTTAGGTTAATTTTTAAAGCAATTTTCAAATATTTTTAAAATCCCTAATCATTAACGAAATGGCGTATCGACACTTGTCTATATAACAGTAGTATACGTCACAGAGGATGTCATGTGTGTATTATCGATCGGTCGGGTACCACTAAATATTTATCAAAATTAAAAATATTCAATACATCATCACATTTTAACGATTATATAATTTAGGTACATTGAACAGTACGTTTGGCTTGCCCGCATCATCCGCGCAAAACACGTCATAATAACATGAGAGCCGTTGGGCTGAACGAGAAAGGAAGTATGGCACCCCACCCGCCACCCACCCGTAGCCAGAACGACATCCTAACCTAACCTAACCTAACCGCCCGTCTGTACAATAATATTGTACCGTGGTGTAAAAATCGTCGTTGAAATTCGACGATTCCGCCGAAACGGCGGTGCACGTGCAACGTTACATTATTATTATTTCTATCGGACGAGCTGTGAATGTCGGCGCTGGGCCTTTTACACATAAACCGACCAACACCTCCACCGCCTCCACCACCGCGCAGGCGGCTATCCTAGCGCTACCATGGTCGCCGGGCAAAGGCAACCACCCCACCAGCCTGGTTCTTGTTGTTCACCTGTAGATCCGCACGCACCGCGAACAGCTACGGCGGATATTAATCGTTATTCGTCTCCAGAGCCAACGCACGGACGCACGTCGCTGATCTTCCGAAGTTCCACCGCCACCGCCACCACCTCCACCACCACCTGCACCACCATCACCACCACAACCGCGCCGCCGCAATCGGCCACCAAGACCGGCAGGGACCCCAGTGCCAGGAAACATTCCACGAGCGAACCCCGTACGGACCGATCATATCCTGCACGACGTAGTACCAGCAAACCACCGCCCAAATCCCGCATCCTTGTAGCAGTCCAGAATATCGTGAAGACTTTCCAGCAAACAATACCAAGCAATCATGACGTCTGAGGGTGAGTTGTTGTTTTATTACATAAGTATTGTTATACTCGTTTATTCTTTTTAAATTTAAAAAATCGCAATGATTAATTGTATAATAATACTTAGAATTTTTGCGCCGAACTACAATATTTATTATTCGACACCGAATTTGATGCGCTGATATCACATTTATTTATTTATTTATTTATTTATTTATTTATTTATTATGATTAAAAGTGGGAGCCCTAACCATAGTTATGTGGAAACATTAAATAAAAATATACAGGATATGTGATGTCATGTAAGGTACAATTTAGATTTAAGTCATTAAATTACTAAGATATAGATCAGGGATGGCAAATCCATGGCACGCGAAAATTTTTACTATTATATAATATATAATATTATAGTACCTACCTTTTTTTTTTTCAGTTTTGAACCGACGGCGCCGCGGGAATTGCTTTCGCATTGCTGCCGCGAATATTATAGTACCTATAATAACCTAAAGTTTAGGTCCTAAACTAACCTTTATAAACCAATACATTAATTATACAATCAAATTATAATATAACCAAATATAATATTTTTAATATTTTTTTCATGGCAAGCTCTAAAAAAAAAAAAATGTTATTACTAATTTTGGGCACGCAGTGTTCAAAAGGTTTGCCATCCCTGATAAAGATTAAAAAAACAAACAGAATAAGTAAAAGATGTATCTATATTAAAATTAAAATGTTTGGTTCTACTTCTAATTTAAGGAGAGTCTTTACCATTTAAGTATAATGCAGGTACAAACGTGTCATCACCTAACCTCAGTGGAGTGGTTTTACATTATATTTTTTCAATATGGTAGTAGTTATATAGTAGTATACACAATATACCTTACTACGGACACTGGACACACGTCGTTCAAAACCTTTCAAAATAAAAAATCTTTATTATTGTGATTATTGCGGGAATATTATATTAATATGAATACGCAGTTATAGTAAAACATACATTTAAACATAAGAAATATTATTTTAACATATTATTTAAACAATATTCACTGCTAAAATTGTTCTAATTAAAAAAATCTGGTCCGGACCCCTCATCTTCTCCTAATAGTTACATTCTTGCTTGTCGATATTACTCGGAAAAACCAAACACAATATTTTTAAAGACACGAATGTCCATTATCGATTTCGATGCTTTTGGTCTACGTACGGAATGAGAATAGCTTTAGCTCACCGGGGTGTCGGTATTTTGGATATTTGGGTTAAATATGAGGAAACAGCCCTCAAAAATGTGGTATCTATGAAAAATTAAATAAAGGTACATTTCGGTAAGAACTAGTTTTATTATTTATACATACATAAATAGTATTGATGGATTCCGATTTTTTAATTGTAACATAAAATATATTTTTTTCTGTTGGCTGGCTACAAATTTTATATTTCTCTATTCCGATTGTCTCAGTGCTCTTACAAGTTAAACCATCACTATAGCCATGGTAACAATGCCCCTGAAAACATATATATGATATACAGATTTTAATTGAAGATAAAACATATCGAGTTGCATGCTACGTTTTCTCAGTATAATATTATAAAGCTCTTCGATTCATTTGTTTTTTTTTAATGAATAATTTGTATAGACGTTTGCAGCTCTTAATAGTACGGTATACATTTTTTTGTACTAAATCATTGCATTGAAAAACGATTCCGAGCGAAAATTTCTTGTCATCCGATACCATACTTGTGTCAATAATCAAATTTAATAGTTAAAAGGAAATAAGAAAAATCGAAAATATCTCATACGGCTATAAACATAACTTGACAATAAACTTTTTTTTTGATAGAGATAGAAAAAATTGTGGGTGTTGGAAAAATTATTTCAAAGTTTTTTTTTATGCTTGAATAAAGCTTTTCTTATTTTCAGTTGGTTCAAAACAAACTATTTCTAATTAATAGAACATTTTGCTATGAAGAACACTAATAGCACATTTTGACTAGCAGTTTTTCAAAACATTCTATTTCCGTTAATATTAATTATTATTATGAATGTATTATAAAGTAAATACGTTCTCATACCTTGACTCAATTAAAGTGTTATTAAATTATCAATACATATTCAATTAAATTAAAATTCTTTAAATTAAAAAATAAATAATATATAATATGCAATACATCATAGTATTAACGATAGTATAAATATTACATATATAGTATATAACGATAGTAGTAACTATCAATTACACAGGTTAATGGAATACATATTATAATATACTGTAGTATAAAAATTTTATGATAACTTTTAATAAGAGAAAAAACAAGGCAAATAAAATATTAAAAGGCAGAAACAATTTTAAAAATTAATAAGTAAATGAGGTTAACATTAAAAACAATGAATTATGTCCAAACTTACATTTTTAAAAAAAAAACCACTAGCCTACTTGCAAATAGTAAATATATTAACTGTCAAGTGATATTGTAAAAAACTATGATACAAATTACACAACAGTCATTAATAATGAACAAAAAAAAAACTCATAGTTGTATCAGTATTAAGTATTTTATATGTATACATCTAGGTAGGTATTTAAACAGTAAAACTTAATTAATTAATATTAACTTAAATTTACTGTTATTATATGATTAAATGATTAAGATAATATAAAGTAGGCAACTATTAAAAATAAAACACTGATGTCTAGTGCTAAGATCTTAGTGTCTTAAAATATCTCAAAAATTCCCTTACAAAATATAAAAATGACTTTAAATTTATTTATAAGAGCTTAAAAAATTTTAAAAATATATTTCAAGTGTAATTTTTGTTTTTTAAATAGTATTTTAAAATAATTACAGCAATAGTATTAGTTTTTTTAATATAGATACATTTAGAAAAATGCTTTACAGATATGTAGTTAGATCTCATCAACTAGGACTTATTTCAATTTGATAAAAAAATATTTTCATATATTATCTCCTGATAAATGTTGTATGGTAAATCGTTTTTGAGCAGTCACTTTCACGTTGCATAATTTACGGCATTTATTACAGTTTAATAATGATATAAAAATCATGTTACTTAACATATTTAATTTTAATTATTTAACAAAATAATAGTAAAATAGGCATAAATATACCTATTTGTTTAATTTTTAATTTATTTTATAACTACACATTAGATTATCTGATAAAATATGTACATAGGCTGATGTGCTTGTATCAATTTATTAAAGTGGGTTACATACTAAATGTGTACGTTTGAGCGATCAGACTTTATTAGTTACCCTAACTCTAATAATAATTAGTTAATATTATTATCATATAACTAGTGTATAGACTATTATTTAATGGTAGGTTTACATAATCTATATAAACAACGAAGTAGGAATCATTTCGGTACTGTGCTGTCCAACATCAACCACCTGGTAATATGAGTACTAAAGAGTTAGAGTTAGAGAAATCATTAAATACAAATATAACATTCATAATTTTACTATAGAATTGTCAATATAAAAGATTACCGGATACCGCATTGCACGAAAGATTATTTAACAATTGTTTAATAAAATTTAATAGACCAATCATGGGCATTACTATAAATTCAATAAATGTTTTGTGATTGTTCGTGCAACCCAACACAATAGTTATAACATTGTGTTCTTTATTTTATCATGTACCTAGTGTATTATAGTGTTAGGTGTAAGTGAGTAATAGCTGTAACTAGGTACTTAAATACCTACCTTGTTTTTTCTTGATTTCTCAACCATAAATTGAATTATTTTTTTCATAGTTGTAAAAATAATAAAATTCGATTTAAAGTACATAGGTAGGATACAAATTACAAGTAAACTGTAAACCGTAGATTAAACCAAGAGCTTTACAATTATTAGCAAATTAACATTTTATAGAACGTACAACAACGATTCAGTTTCATTGATAGAGCTTATCACAAAATGTATGCGTTCATAAATCATAACACTGATAGTAGATACCAAAGAACCAAAGATTAGACTATTTCTTTTTAAATTTAATTTGTATTCACAGTTCGATTGTATCAACAACAAAGACTTTTTACTTACATTAAATTTAATAAAATCAAATTCTAGGATGCTGTAATTTTATGTAGGTAAATAGTACGATTTGCATCTATCTATACGTTTTTCCGTTTTCCTTCATATATCATTTTCATGATAAATCGTACTTTTTGGGTCAGGATGGAAATAGTACGTCTTGGAAAAATGTATGTAATTACCTAGTGCTTAAATTAATTGGATCACGTTATTTTACTTTTAATATTACGAAATCATCAGCAAATAGTACCTACGCCTTACACCGAAGAGTAAATAGTTCGTTTTGACCAAATATATATCATGCCAATATTGTATGTAATTCTGCAACGACGCATTATTTTGATATCGATTTTTGAACGGGAAATAGTACGTTTTCACTGAAATCTACGAAGCCAATCGATTCTTCAGTCCTCACAGTCTTAAATGTATAAATCAGTGCACAACTCGATTTTGATACAATCTAAACCCTAAATGATGTAAGCCAATACTTACACGCATTATGTTATTTTAAGGTACTTAGTCAATAATCAATTGTTTTTTGATAATTTTAAAATAAAACATGTACTTAATAATGAATCTTGTGAAATAATCCATTAAATATGATATATTTTCAAAAAAGAGTACCTATACCTGTATTAATACACTGAAGTCGGTATACTTTATAAAGGTCACTGAGTATAATAATACGATGATTCTCGATTGTTTTCGGCACACTGTAAAATATATCTTATTAATAATTATTAATTAATAATCTTTCGGAAAAATTAACGCTCTTCCAGTGTATTAGAAATATGTTTAAATTTAGAAAGGTTGATTTCATCAATATCGGATTTCATATTAAATTGTCAAATTTCTAGGCTAAGCCTCGACGTGTTATCAATGCTATATAAAAAATAATAAACTAAAAATTTCGAAATTTTAAATATATCATAATTTATTACTGTCAGTGGAAGTTATTCAAGTTCTGCGGTCAGTACTTTGTTAATAACAAAAAAAAAATAATTTTACTGATGAGACATTTTTAAATAACGTGTGTATTTTCAATACTGCTATAGTTTAAACTTCAGACGCTTCAGACATTTGTATAATAATTACGCTTGATTTTTTGTTTCGAGGAATTTATCATAAAGTCATAAAAAGTTTCGATTTTTCTTCCTTTTGCATTTTCAATATTTTCAAATCGCTGTAAAATGAAGGTCGTTCTAAATTATTTTTCAAGTTGTAGTTTTTGACTTGGCGAACATTTTCAAAAATTTAACACGTCCATCGCTGCAGTGTCATTATAATATATTAATCGTTCTTTTTATCTCTAATCACCACGTCTTATGCGCTACAATACAAAAATAATTTTGTGGTTGATTAATGTCGATCATTCGATCTATAAATATACATAAATATACAATCTATAAATTACAGTATCGCTGTCGTCGAGTTGCGCAGTAGAACATATAACGATTAAAAAAACAAAATATAGCTTTTCGAGGAAAGTAACGTTTAAATATTTTGTTTTTAGCTAGCGCGATGGCAAGAGCGATGCACCAGTTCATGGTGAATGCATCGGCCGGCATGTTTCGAGCCAGGTTTGCAGTGCCGCCGTTCGATTGGCCATCGATCTTGGAGGACGGCGAAACCGTCTACGACTCGGTGTCGTCGGTATTCAACGACAATTACGGCCGCGCCCGGTTGGGCGGCGGTGTACTCGTTATGGAACTGGCTGGTCCGAATTCCCGCCTACGCTTGCTGTGCGTGACGGCCGAAACCTCGCTGGCGTTCGTCACCGTACTGCACCGGCTGTTGATAGGTTTCTCGGGCAGCGATGAGAACGTATCCACCATCAGGCTGTTGATCAGTCAAGTGGATTTCGAGGCGGCGTCCAGGAGGAATGGGCGCAGCGGCCTTCAGGCCACGTTGGACGAGCTACAGTGCACCACGAGAGCCAGGATAGGCGAAAGTTTCCAGCTGTTCGAACGGTACCCGTTGGCCGGCAAAGCGGCCATGCGCCTCACTGGCCGGCCGTTCGAGGTGCTCCTCTGCGTCTGTCGGGTCAACGAGATTCTATACGAAATGACCACCGCGACCATCGCAATCCGCTACCTCAACTACGATCTAGAGCGTGACCGCGAGAATATTCGGGCTTTACTCGCAAGTGAAGAACAACGTTTATGGAGAATGCCAGATGATTTTCCAGAAATTGACTTTCAATGGCAAACACCACCCGAAGAAACTTTCAATCCCCCCTTTACTCGTTTGCAGCTCCCTCATTCACCTCAAACCAGTACCACCGAAAACAGCGCCGATGGGGCAACCGCGGTCGACACTAGACGGCGGATGGTGAGCAAAGTGCCATCAAGTGTCACCACTACCACCACCACTGTCACCCCAAGGACCACCATTACCACCACCACTGCCAACCCCAGGACCACCATTACCACCACCACTGCCAACTCCAGGACCGTCACTTCGGCCCGGGGTACTTCGAATAGCCACATTAATCAATCATCACGTCATGCCGTCTTAGCTGCCACTAGGCCCACCGCTTCCACCAGGAGTGTTTCGGATCGCCTCGCGAAAAGAGATCCGTCACAAAACTCAGCTGCCGTAAATACCACCGCCGCTGCCACTAGGCCTATCGCTTCTACCTGGAGTGTTTCGGATCGCCTTGCGAAAAAAGATCCGTCACAAACCCTCGCTGTCGGAAATACCACCACCGTCACTACTAGGTCCAACACTTCTGCCAGAAGTGTTTCGGATCGCCTCTTGAACAGGAATCTGTCATCGCGTGTCACTAACACCACCGGCACTCCCGTCCGGAGCGTTTCGGATCGTCTAATCGTAAATCGTAAACAGCCCCCATCGAGTGCTACCACTAACGTCACTAGCACCACCGCCATCAGCACCACAGCCACCACTACCACCACTGTCAACCATCGGAATTCCGCAACTAACCTGATGGCTATGGACTCTACAGACATGAGCATTGAATTGTCATCATTACGTGAGATACTTGACGCCACTGACACCGTGTCCATCCCCAATGTGATTAGCCCTCCCATCCAGAGCGTTTCAGATCTGCTAAACATAAATCGTAGACAGTCGCCATCGAGTATTACCACTAGTGTCACTAACGCCATCGTCGCCAGCACCACAGCTACCGCTACCACCGCTGCACACCTTTTGGAAAACGTACGCAGGGATTATCCATATTTTTATGCCAGCATGGAAGCCTACAAAGCCATCAATGGGAATACCACTTCCGTCAGAAGTGTTTCGGATGGACTCGTGAACGGGAATCCGTCACCACGTGTCTCTACTAAGACTAACGATACCACTGCCAACACCTCTAGCACCTCCACCACTTCTACAACTACTGATATTTCTTTAGACATTAGCACTGGTAAATCTGGAGATTCATCAGAAAGTGACCATGCCTAAAATGGGACCTTTATATTTTAAATAGCTATTTTTCTTTCATATTTTTTGTAATTTAAATTGAATAATATATATATATATATATATGTGTACATTATGAATTACTAAATATATGAAAAATATTAATATTTATGAGTTTAGTGAATTTAAATCAGTTGTCTCGAACTAAAAGTGCCCACTGGCCGTATAATATTTATATGTCAAAAGTTCGAGGGTGAAACTCCTTTTGTTTTTTTACTTACTTATTTAAATACTAAATAAGAAATTAACAACATAAATTAAGGCAAAATGTATGTCTTCTATTGATTATGACGATAAATAATTATAATAATATAATTTTATTGAATACTAGGCATTCAACATAGGTGTACATATTGACTTTTTGTTTAATAACTAATTATTTTTATTGCGAAAAAAATTCCAAAAGTTCAATATCTTAGTGTTTATGGTAGCCCACACTAAAAAGGTTCACGGCGCGATACGTCATTTGCATAAGACAACTGGCTTAAATGTAATTTTCCATACTATACACTCGCAATAAATACAAATCAAAATTCAATGTATGTTATAAAATTATGTTTGCAAACAAATCAAATTTGTTAAATACTTATATCCGATAATAGTTGCTTTTTAATAAAATTTAAAATATTAAGCTTAGAATAAATATATTTAATATATTGAGTTTTTTTTTTAAGTTTCAATATTCAAAAAAAGTATTTAAAATAACAAATTAGCACAACTATTGTCGCATTAACTGATAAAAATTGAATATATTTCCTTTAAAATTCTATTTACCTACCTATTAAACATTTATAATAAATACAAGTTAGCATAATAAATTAACTGGAACTAGCGCTTTTAGATCAATTTATAGTTAGATAATTGTTAAGGCGACTTTTCGTATTTTTTTTCAGTTTTAAGTCTTTTTTTGTTTTGACACTATTTTAGTCTGGTGGCACCTGCCCATAAACGTAATCTCTTGTTAGGTTAGGTATGGATTGTAAATAATTGTTTAATAAAATAAAAAATAACCACTTTGTCAGTGGCTATTTGCTCTGTTAGACTTTAATGGCATGATTTTTAAATTTTTATTAGGTAAGTAGTCAGCTAAAATAAAATTCAAGGTTGAATAAATATTAATTGCTATCATCAACTTTACTATTTCCTCAGTTCCAGTGTTAGTACTTAAACTTAGGCGTACATAGCATAGAAAATGTAAATAGGTAGTGGCGGATAATAATATATCACCTAATAAACCACGACTCACTTAATCTTATTTTTGTGTAATTGTGATGGTCCTCTCGGCAGACTGATCACGTGGTTCTACGACGGTCGTGGAGTGGACAGCTTCGATCGTCTCCTGCAGTCTGATTTCCCTGAGATGTGGGCCTGGGCACGCTGGACAGCGTC